ACGGTCTAACTCCCCCCACCTCTCCGACCTTATAACCCCATATCAACCTGTCTGCTCCCTCCACTCGTCAGACACGGGCCTGCTTCAGGTCCCCCGCATTTCCCACCCCACCATTGGTGGTCAGGCATTCAGTATCTCTTCCCCCACCCTCTGGAAGTCTATCCCGCAATCCCTCTGCCTCATCCCCTCTCTTGCCTCCTTCCTCTTTGATCGTGCCTTCATTCACATCCCACCCTAGCCCCCCTGCCCTCCTCCCCTTCTGATCCCAACTCCCAGCTCGGGTGCAAAACTCCTGATTGTCCAGCACCCTGGGTGTTTTTCCGACTTGAAGGGCACTATACAAGTGTAATTTGTTGTTGTTGTTTGCAATTGGCTGCTGTGTTTCACCCACAAAATATACAGTCAATTCACTTTACAGTATTCTGTGAAGCGCTTTGGGAAGTCACCAAACGTGTTCAGGCATTATATCAAATGCAAGGATTATTATTATCAGCAGTGCTCTGGAACACTGGACCCCCCCTGGCTCAGGAAGCATACTCGAGGCCGTCACAATGTCAATTTTGACATTCCGCTGCCAAACATGTCACCTTAGAAACAGCTCAGCACCAAGGAAACGCTGCTTACCCCCTTCTCTCATAGGAGGATAATAAAATTATATAGAATAGGGAAAACACCCATATTTTCCTCAATATTTATGCCTGTCTAATTTCCAATATAATGGAACTATTATTATTTTTAGGACTATCAATCACAAACAGCTATCTATAATTGATTTACGTGACCAATTTGACACAACTTTGCAATGTCTTATTAACCCTGAATGAAAATATCCTGCATAACATTGCTCGCCTCTGCAACTATGGAGTCCTGTAGCTCAGTGGTTAGAGCACTCGCCTCGGAAGCGAGAGACCTGAGTTGAATTCCTGGCAGGGCGAAACCTTGGGCAAGTTTCCTTACTGATAATAATCCCTCAAGAAAAAAAAATTGGTCACTTCAATCCACGACTGTTTGTGCGACACTGCTGTGCTCAATTCGCTGCCGTTTCGCCCACAAATATTCAGTCAATTCACTTTACAGTATATTCTGTGAAACGCTTTGGGACATCGAGAAGACGTGAAAAGCACTATATCAAATGCAAGGATTATAATTATTATTATTATTACTACCTTTCCCCTCGGGCCACCAAGACCCTCATCCATGGATTCATCATGTACGACCTTCTTAAACGCTTCCAACCTGTCCACTCCTTTCAATCAGTGAGTACCAGCCTGTTTCAAGACTCATTGTAAAAACAGGATGCATGGAAAGCTATTCGCAGGGATACAAACATGGTTAAAGAATATGAAAGAGGGTGGGAGTATAGGGTTGTTATTTGCAATGGAGAGATGTAAATAGTGGTGTCCCCCAGGGGTCAGTGTGAGGACCTCTGCTTTTCTCCATTTATATAAATGATCTGGATTCTGACATAAGGGCACAACTTCTAGGTTTGAAGTTGACATGAAATTAGAAAGTGTGAAGAAGAAGATTGTAAGCAACTTGAGGGAAACATATACAAATTATTGATTGGGCAGAGAAATGGCAAATTAAATTTTATGTGGATATACATTATGTTATACATTTTGGGAGGAAGAACAAGAAAAAAAATTATATATTGGGTAATAAGATTAAAAGGAGTAGAAGAGCAAAAGGGATTTTGTGGTTAATAATAATACTTGCATTTGATATAGCGCCTTATCACTTCTTCTTGACGTCTCAAAGCGCTTCACAGAATATATAGTAAAGTGAATGACTGTATATTTTGTGGGCGAAATGTGGTAGCCAATTGCGCACAGCAGCATCCTACAAACAGTCGTGGATTGAGTGACCAAATTATTTTTTAATTTACTTTTGAACGAATTATTACGCCTGGAAAAGTGATCAGTCAATCGACTAACAACCGTGTTCCCACTTACTGCTAGGTAAACAAGCGTGTGAAGAATTTGCCTTTGAAGGATGGAAGTGGGGAGGTTAGTGAGAGAATTAATCTCTTAGCTGAAACCACCAGTGAAGGGAATGATTGTCTTTCTTGTGCCCTGTTTATACTGGCCAGTGTCTTTGTTATTGTACAGGGTAGCCCTATTCCAATCTGATAGTCCAATTCCATTCATAAAATAACAATGTTACCCTCTACTTAGATGATAATATGCTTCAATTCACAGGAGATAGCCCAACCCAGAGCCCAGCCCAGCTCCAGGCCCGAGCCAGCCCCTAGCCCACAGCCCAGAGTCAGATCCCAGCCCAGAGCCCTAAAACATAACTCAAGAGCCCATCCCAGCCTCCAACACAGCCCAGCCCAGAGCACGCCCCAGAGCCTGACCCAGAACCCAACCCACAGCACAACTCCCAGCCCAGAGCACAGCCCTCAGCACAGCCCAAAGCCCAGGCCAGAGCCCAGCAGCCAGCATCCAGCCCAGAGCCCAGTCCAGAGCTCAGCCCCCAACTCGAAGCCCAACCCTGCAGCCAGCATCCAGCCCAGAGCCCAGCAGAGAGCACAGCCCAGAGCCCAGCCCACACCACAGCCCAGAGCCCAGTCCAGCCTCCAACAGACTGGGCTCAGCCAGGAGCCCAGCCCAGAGCACACAGCACACTCCAGAGCCCAGCCTAGCACGCAGCTCAGAGCCCAGCCCAGAGCCCCAGCCCAGCCTACATCCCAGAGCCCAGCCCCCAACACAGCCCAGAGCCCAGTCCAGCCCAGCCCCAAGTCCCAGCCTATAGCCCAGCCCAGAGCACAGCCCCCAGCCCAGGGCCCAATCCAGAGCACAGCCCCCAACACAGCCCAGAGGCTAGCCCCCAGGGCCCAGCCCAGCCCCCAGCGCAGCCCAGAGTCCAGCCCATAGCAGAGCCGGACATTCCCAAAGAAGCAAAGTACCATCTCAGCCAAGCTTCTTGGGACTGACAAAGTAGTCAGTCAGGTCTCCTGTCAAAAGGGTGAGAGCAGTCAGTTATCAGATCACATGGCATCACTGTCACACATCTCGAAACCTACAAGTTGGCAGTCATTTTACACATTTTTTAATACTATCTTCTATGCGAATAAAGATGAAATGTCTGTCTGTGTGTCTATCAGCCAAGAACAAATAACCGATTAACATAGAGACATGATTTATACCTCATTGGAAAGGGAAGTGTCATGGGCATATTGTGAGAGTGTCATGGCCATTGTTTTTGATGATTAGCTATATTAAAAAATATATTTAAAAAATGCTTAATTAAGCCGCCAAAAAGTATGTATGGTATTCTGCAACTAAGTAGGGACAGAGGTCACATGCCCTTGTCTGTCTATGTGTCTGTCTAACCAAATGACGTAGACACCAACAGGAGTCCTTCCAACAAGAGTCCTCCCAACCAGGAGTCCCCCCAAAGGGGGCTAGTTAAAAATAACAAAATTAAAGTGAAAAGTGACAATCAGGTGTAAATTACAGCAATTCTTAAAGTCCCAAAAGCCACTCTTCGAGTAACAATTCTAAAACATCCTGAGCAAGCTCTCACACAGGCACTCTCTCTGTCATTAATGACATTGTTACCAAACACTGTGTAACTTAATCTTCATTACATCCAATACAAGATCACGCATCTGAGAAATAATTGGTCAGTAATTTGCTAAAACTAGTGCAGGTTACAATGGACAGCTTTTTTTCCTTGAACACTGTTTTCGTAATAATCATTGCATTTTGATATAGCGCCATTTCACATTTCAAAACAGTTCTCATTAAGTGATGTAACCAATTTGTGCACAAAAAGAAATGGAGTTAGCAGTCACTTTTACTTGGAGGATTGGGGGGATTGTTGGCCAGGACACCGGGAGAAACTTTCTTTTCGATAAATGCAATTGACAGCTGGAGCCACTTGTGATTGTGAGTCAGGACGTCAATCACCTCGGAGCCACCGCAAATTAGTTCCTTTCCTGTACAATAAGAAAGGCAATTGGAGGGAGGAGGCAGCGCTGCTCTGCTCTGCTCTGCTGGGTGGGAAAAGGGAAGGGAACTTGGGTTAACATCTATCAGACAGATGGAACCTTGGTTTATTGGGACATCCTCCCGACGTGAAAGGCGTTATACAAAAGTATTTGTGTTATACTGTAACATCTCTTCCAAAGGATGTCACCTCTGACAATACAGTAGACCTCAGCACTGCAGTGGGGTATCAGCATAGACAATATTTGGGGCTTGAACCCACAACCTCTGACTCAGAGGTGAGAGTACTACCAACTGAGTCAGGTTGGCACTAATGAGAGAATCAAAACAGAGATGATACTGCAGTAATGTATACTGAAAATACAAAAACTATAGCCAATTAATCCAATGCTATTGCATAGAAGTGTACTTATCAATCTCAAATAGTGGTAAAAAAATTATTTGACAACACAGTGTTACAAATACAGTGGAAGCCACTAAGGCTGAATGCTGGATAATAATAATAATAATCCTTGCATTTGATATAGCGCTTTTCACGTCTTCTAGACGTCTCAAAGCTCTTCACAGGATACACTGTAAAGTGAATTGACTGCATATTTTGTGGACGAAACGTGGGATTTTGTGGGATAAATTGGACAAACGCCCTGCCCCGATTCATCTCTATTCTCACCTATTTTAAATGTTGTCGGTTTTAATTTGGACAAAAATGCCGCGCTGGTCACCACTGGGTGGACTTTGTCTCATTGGGAGGAGTCAAATTGTGATTGATTGACAGTTGGAGCCACTTGTGATTGTGAGTCCGGCCGTCAATCACCTCAGAATCACCACAAATTGGTTCCCTTCCTGTCCAATAGGAAAGGCAATTGGAGGGAGGAGACAGCGCCGCTCTGCTCAGTGGGAAAAGGGAAGGGAACTTGGGTGAACCTCAAACGCCGCTTAAGCCAGCAAAACAGCCAGCCCTGATGTGTCCATCTTAAGCAGCTTCCACTGTAATTTGTATTTCAGGATTTTTTTTAAATCACAAAAGCAATGAGTAAAAGTACTTACGCTGTCCACAGTGAGTTCCAGAATATCCTTTCTGACAAATGCATTGATCCTCAGCACATGAGCCACCATTCATGCATCTGATGTTGCACTGTTGGACTTAAAAATAAGCAGTCATAATTATATTTCAATAAAGTAACCTGATGAGTTCCTTTAATCAAACTGTGCAGATTTGAAGATTGTAAAATTATTAAGTACATGAAGCTTATAGCTAGAAATCTTTATAAACGTTTATAGTTAGTCTTGAAACAACTGTGCAATTGAGACAGCACATAGAGTTAACAAGAGTCTTGAGAAGCATGAGGAGGACTAGTGATAGGTCTAAACACACTGCAAAACGAAGTATGAGTGTCAGAGAATACGTGGATTTATTTTGAGAATATTTGGACATTACATCTTTGGTGATGACGAGTAAATCTATATTGGATAAAATGTTCGAAGACTGCAGTAACAATCATAGCCTGGGGTAATAATCCCTTCAAAAAAAATAACGTTTCAATAATTTGATCACTCAATCCATGACTGTTGTGGGATGCTGCTGAGCACAATTGGCTGCCGCGTTTTGCCCACAAAATACAGTCAATTTATTTTACAGATTATTCTGTGAAGCGCTTTGAGGCATCTCGGCGATGTGATAAGACACTATATCAAATGCAAGGATTATTATTATTATAACATGTCAAAATGGATCAATAGGAAAATAATAACCCTGGTTAAAGATCCATTGACAGTGTTTGAAAAGAGAAGAGTTTCTCCGATGTCCTGGCCAAGAATTCCCCAGCTAAAACTGCAGAGTCCCCACTGGCTCAGGAAAATTACATTACTTAGCAAGTTCTATCAAATTAATGGCCATTTATGAGACGTTGCTCTGTGGAAATTAGATGTTGTGTTCGCCCACAAAACATAGTCACTACACTTTACAGCAAATCGTGTGAAGCGCTTTGAGACATCCTCCTGACATGAAAATTGCTGGACCAAATGTAAGGATTAATAATATTATGTATGGTTTCAGAACACATCTGCATGTTGGCAGAAACTTGAAAAAAACACCTCTGATAGGATTTAAAAGCCATAAAAAGTGTTGGTTAATGAACATGTACTGAATTCGTTAATGAGCAGATTACAGCCATCTGACGTCTACACAGACTCAGGAGACTCTCACTTGGCAAAAATGCAGATCTCAATTGCTTCGCCAAATTCCAACTGACATTTTCCTGCCAAAAGCAGATTTTCCTACATTAGTACATTTTCTTTTCCCGCTAAGCTACTGGGAAAAGAGTCAAATCATGGGTTCAAATGAAGTATTATTTATGTAAACACAAGGGTTCCTAACATACCCAGAAGATGATCCACAGAAAAGAATCTTCCATGTTTTCCTCATTTCCTGTTTAGGAAGGTTTCTCAAATTCCTACATGTTTTATGGGAATAGTTTGTTCACCAAAAGTACTTGTTAATATCAGTGCTTAATGCCTGCTAAATATTCAACTTTAAGTACAATCCATAGAACTGAATTGTCTGCATTTTCACAAATAATCTGTAAAAAGCAAATTGAATACTATTGTCAGGTCAGAGGGGACACTGCGCGCCAATCTTTTTTATCAGAAGCTGGGTCAGTAGAAAACTGTTTACTTTTTCTGATTTTTGTCAGCTGATGACAACTTTTAACTTTTTTCTCAATTTTTGACAATGTTTGTAGTTGGCGGATAAGCCACTGGAACCTCATCAGCCTCAGGAAGTGTTTTTGGCATCAATATGAATCACTCTCTCTCGCCTACTTTTCAGCTCCTTCTCTTCCATCTGCTCACCTTTCAACCCAATATATTCCATTTAAGGCTCCAGTTGTGTTTTCATTTTTTCAATTATCCACTTTCCAGCAGTATAATAAACAAATTTATCAATGAAAGTTAATTTGTGTCAGATTGAACATTGATGTTCAATGAATTAATGACAAACCTAGTCAGTAGATATGATATCCAATCAGTCTTAATGCAACTTGAACTTCAAATTTCATCTATTTCATCCTAGTGTATCAGATTGTTGCTCCCTTCAGCTCCATCAGGTTTTCCGAACTGGCCTGACTTGCTCCACGTCCAATAAGATAGGTACAGATCAAGACCATTCGGCCAATTTCATCTCCTCCTTCCACATCACAGCATCAAACGCCGTGGCCTCAATAACATTTCCTGGTTCCAGTCATTAGTCCAGTCTCTGGGTCTCTTTTTGGTCTGACACAAGTGGAAACCCATGACAATGCTCATCAGTATCCAAACCTGATTTACAGTTCCATGTATGCCACTTACACTGTGACTGGATTGGTAAAGTGTACTCTCCCTAGAAGGATCCCCTGCTTACTTAATTCTAGAAAGCATAGACACAGGTTGGCAAATGATTACCAACTCCCTCCAGCTCTGAGTCGTGCTCCATCACGGTCATATTGCCATTGTTGCTGTTAATTATATGGGCTTTGGGGTCCCAGAGTGTGTTAAGGTACTCCTGGAGTTAGCCAATTAAAAACCCAAGGACACCCGTTTAAAGTATTGTTGAGAGAAACAGAGGAGGCCAGGAGAAATCTTTTCACACAGCAAGTTGTTGGGATCTGGAATACATTGCCTGAAAGGGTGGTGAAAGCCAATTTAATAACAATCTTCAAGAGCAAAGTGGATAATTATTTGGGCAGGACAAGTTTTCAGGGCTGTGAGAGAGGGATTGAATTGGATAGCTCTTTTCAAAGAGCCAGCACAGACACAAAGGGCCAAATGGCCTCCTTCTGTGCTGTATAATTCTATGATAAAGCTTATATTGCCTTTCCTCATTCTTCCTCCCAAAGATGCATCACTTCGATTTCTCCACACTAAACTTCATCTACCACGTGTCTGCCCATTTTACCAGTATGTCTATGTCCTCTTGCAGTCTGCTTCTATCCTCCTCATCATTTACTACTTTCCTAACTTAGTATCATCTGCAAACTTGGAAATTGTATCCCCAAGTCAAGGTCATTTATATAGATCAAAGAAACAATTGGCTGCCGCATTCGTCCACAAATATATACAGTCAATTCACTTTACAGTGTGTTCTGTGAAGCGCTTTGGGACGACCTCCCGACGTGAAAAGCGCTATGTCAAATGCAAGGATTATTATTATTATTATAATAGGGTATCCCAGAAAGCATTTTGAGACATGTCAAAGACATAATAAGGTGCTGTATCAAATATAAGTATTAACATTATTATTGTAGATACATCGTAAAGCTTCCCACGGTCACCTTCTCTGTCAGCCTATTCTCTGTAAATGTTAATGATTTGACAGGTCTTTTTTTATATGTGGTTGCCAGGGAAGCCAGGTCACCTCAAGCTGAGAACACTGATGATTTGTCTAGGATGATATTGTAGACAGACGTCTGGGGGTGGGGGGGAGGAAGAGAGGGCACAATGGGACATTTGAGAGGGTGAATCGAAGCAGCAGGCGATGGAGGAGTGTACGGGAGGCAAGGGGCGAAACAGTCAGGAAAGGTGGGGATGAGTAGGGGAAGTCTACCATGGGGGTGGGGTGTAGGCTACGGAGGGAGGAGAGAACGGTTTGGAGGCAAGGGACGGGGAGCTGGGGTCAGGGTGACAGCCACATGCGCACCCAAGGCCATCTAAAACCCTAGCTGGTAGTCACATCCTTCTCCTCCTCGTTGTCCAGCACCATTTCTATAGCGCTCAAATATTACTCCACACGATAGGCTGGCTAAATGCTGTCATTGTTGCGGTCAAATTATACAGTGCCACAGGTCACTGAAATCATGTCACTCTCTCTGGTTTAATGACCATCAAGAGTCGGTGCATTAAATGAAAATGAGGTAACATATTACAGTGACAAAGAACAAACCAGCATTTTAAGGTGATGAGAACTGAACAAAGGGAATTAAATGTAAGGAAATTGAAACAGCTAATACCATATGGAATAAAGAAGAGTTAAGCTACTGAACTGCTATCTCAGCTCATATTATTATTATTATTATATCAGGAGAGCGGAGTCATTCAGAGAGAATCAGATAGCGCAATCACATTACCTGCAATAGGATAAAGCAGCATCGGCAGTGTACTGGAAAAGGGAAACACACACACAGAGGTGGCAATCTGTGTATCACCCACAGAAAACATTATCATTCAGTACAATCACAGAATTACTAAAGGAACTGAACAACTCACTTGATTTTGAACCACAGGTGAGAGCGATCTGACCAGATGGACACGTGCAAATGTTTGGTCGTGAACAAAACCCATCGCCGCATGGATTCCTGCAAATTGCTACACGCAGAAAAACATTTTGTTTAAAAAAAGAACATTCTTATGCTGTCTTTTTAAACAGTTATTACGATTGAATATAAATTAAAACCTTATTAACATTTCATTTATTATTTTCTTCACAATTACCTCTGATCTTTACACAATTGTGTTTCTGCATTACACTCACTGATGCTCCCTGGCTGGCTGGCTGGCTGGCTCCCTGGCTCCCTGGCTGGCTGGCTGGCTGGCTGGCTCCCTGGCTGGCTGGCTCCCTGGCTGGCTGGCTGGCTGGCTGGCTGGCTCCCTGGCTGGCTGGCTGGCTCCCTGGCTGGCTGGCTGGCTGGCTCCCTGGCTGGCTGGCTGGCTCCCTGGCTGGCTGGCTGGCTGGCTCCCTGGCTGGCTGGCTCCCTGGCTGGCTGGCTGGCTGGCTGGCTGGCTGGCTCCCTGGCTGGCTCCCTGACTGGCTGGCTGGCTCCCTGGCTGGCTCCCTGGCTGGCTGGCTGGCTGACTCCCTGGCTTGCTGGCTGGCTGGCTCCCTGGCTGGCTGGCTGGCTGGCTCCTTGGCTGGCTGGCTGGCTCCTTGGCTGGCTGGCTGGCTCCCTGGCTCCCTGGCTGGCTGGCTGGCTGGCTGGCTCCCTGGCTGGCTGGCTGGCTGGCTCCCTGGCTGGCTGGCTGGCTGGCTGGCTCCCTGGCTGGCTGGCTGGCTGGCTCCCTGGCTGGCTGGCTCCCTGGCTGGCTGGCTGGCTGGCTGGCTGGCTCCCTGGCTGGCTGGCTGGCTGGCTGGCTCCTGGCTGGCTGGCTGGCTCCTGGCTGGCTGGCTGGCTCCCTGGCTGGCTGGCTGGCTGGCTGGCTCCCTGGCTGGCTGGCTGGCTGGCTCCTGGCTGGCTCCTGGCTGGCTGGCTGGCTCCTTGGCTGGCTGGCTGGCTGGCTCCCTGGCTGGCTGGCTGGCTCCTGGCTGGCTGGCTGGCTGGCTGGCTGGCTCCCTGGCTGGCTGGCTGGCTGGCTGGCTGGCTGGCTCCCTGGCTGGCTCCTGGCTGGCTGGCTGGCTCCCTGGCTGGCTCCCTGGCTGGCTGGCTGGCTGCTCCCTGGCTGGCTGGCTGGCTGGCTGGCTCCCTGGCTGGCTGGCTGGCTGGCTCCCTGGCTGGCTGGCTGGCTGGCTCCTGGCTGGCTGGCTGGCTGGCTCCCTGGCTGCCCTGGCTGGCTGGCTGGCTGGCTGGCTCCCTGGCTGGCTGGCTGGCTGGCTCCCTGGCTGGCTGGCTGGCTGGCTGGCTCCCTGGCTGGCTGGCTGGCTGGCTCCCTGGCTGGCTGGCTGGCTCCCTGGCTGGCTGGCTGGCTGGCTGGCTCCCTGGCTGGCTGGCTGGCTGGCTGGCTGGCTGGCTGGCTGGCTCCTGGCTGGCTGGCTGGCTCCCTGGCTGGCTGGCTGGCTGGCTGGCTCCCTGGCTGGCTGGCTGGCTGGCTGGCCTGGCTGGCTCCCTGGCTGGCTGGCTGGCTGCCTTGGCTGGCTGGCTGGCTGGCTCCCTGGCTGGCTGGCTGGCTGGCTCCTGGCTGGCTGGCTGGCTGGCTGGCTGGCTGGCTGCTGGCTGGCTGGCTGGCTCCTGGCTGGCTGGCTGCCCTGGCTGGCTGGCTGGCTGGCTGGCTCCCTGGCTGGCTGGCTGGCTGGCTGGCTGGCTCCCTGGCTGGCTGGCTGGCTGGCTCCCTGGCTGGCTGGCCTGGCTGGCTGGCTGGCTCCCTGGCTGGCTGGCTGGCTGGCTGGCCCTGGCTGGCTGGCTGGCTGCCCTGGCTGGCTGGCTGGCTGGCTGGCTGGCTGGCTGGCTGGCTGGCTGGCTCCCTGGCTCCCTGGCTGGCTGGCTGGCTGGCTGGCTCCCTGGCTGGCTGGCTGGCTGGCTGGCTCCCTGGCTGGCTGGCTGGCTCCCTGGCTGGCTGGCTGGCTGGCTGGCTGGCTCCCTGGCTGGCTGGCTGGCTCCCTGGCTCCCTGGCTGGCTGGCTGGCTGGCTGGCTGGCTCCCTGGCTGGCTGGCTGGCTGGCTGGCTGGCTGGCTGGCTGGCTCCTTGGCTCACTAGCAGACACACAGTCTCTGACAGACACACTCACTGACAGACGGACACACAAACACTCACTGACACACTCATCCACTGACATGCACTAACTGACAGATAGACTCGCTGACAGGTCAACACACAAAGTAACTGAAAGGCTCACTCACTGACAGTCACACACACACTGATAGACAGACAGACAAACTCACTGACAGACACACACACTCACTTTTGCTGACAGGCAGACACACATGCACTTACTAACTGACACACAGACCAACAGACACACTCATTGACAGTCTGACACACATTAATTGACAGATAGACACTCACTTTTACTGACAGAAACACAGTCACTGACAGATGCTCTTTCACACATTCACTTACGGACAATGCATTGGTTTCCACCAGGCAATGTTTTCCATCCAGGACAGCAGTATGAATGAAAACGTGATCCACAAACATTTGGTCTAAAAAAAGGTAACAGACAGATGAGAAATTAACAAATGCCCTGGAGATGGATTGTACGACAAACAGTTGATACCACAACATGGAAAACAGATCGCAACAATGGAAGAGACACTATCCTATCTAATTCCTATCTCAGAACTTGTGACTACAAAATACCTAAAAATAACAAACTGGCTGAGGCACAGACAGTTAGTGTTTGAGACCAAAGCCCATGTGGAGAGAACACTGGGGTTTGGAGGAAGCACCAACTTCTGAGCAGTAACATTGGGTGAGTAAAGCTGCTGCACTTATACACAATCACTTTACAGACAGTTGAGCTCTCCACACGTACCTTTAGACCATCTGAAGTCCCTGAAGACAATATAAGCTGATGTTAGAATCTTAAAGGGGGCGAAGGAACAGAGAGATCTGGGGTTTATATAAGGAAATCTTTGATGGTGGCCGGACAGGCAGATAAAGCTGTTAAAAGAGCATATGGGATACTGGGCTTTATAAATAGGGGCATAGAATACACAAGTCAGGAAGTTATGATGAACCTTTATAAACACTGGTTAGGCCTCAGCTCGAGACTGTGCTCAGTTCTGGGCCACACACTTTAGGCTGGAGAAGCCGGGATTATTCTCCTTGGAGCAGAGGTCAAGAGGAGACTTACTAGAAGTTTTCAAAATGATGAGGGGATTCGATAGGGTGAACAGGAGAAACTATTCCCACTGGCGGGTGGGTCGGTAACCCGAGGACACCCATTTAAAATAGTTACTAAAAGATACAGAGAGGTGAGGAGAAATGTTTTGAAACAGCGAGTTGTTGGGATCTGGAATGCATTGCCTGAAAGGCCGGTGGGAACCGATTCCATAACGGCTTTTAAGAGAGAAGTAGATAATTATTTGGGGAGGACAAGTTTGCAGAGCTATGGGGAGAGCGCGGGGGAGTGGGGTTGATCAGGGCTATGGGGAGAGCGCGGGGGGGAGTGGGGTTGATCAGGGCTATGGGGAGAGAGCGGGGGATTGGGGTTGATCGGGGCTGTGGGGAGAGAGAGTGGGGGAGTGGAGTTGATTTGGAAGCTCTTTTCAAAGAGCTGCACAGACACGATGGGCCGAATGGCCTCCTTCTGTGCTGTAGGATTCTATGATTGTATTTTGGGGGCAAATGCAGCAACCAATTGCACAGAGCAATGTCCCACAAACAAATGACCAATTTTATTTGGAGACTTGTCGGTCAGGACACCAGGAGAAACACCCTTCTCTTTTGAAATAGTGCTATGGGATCTTTCATGGTCATCTGAACACAGAGACTGGACCTCGGTTTGATGTCTCATCCGAAGGACAGTTTCTTTTACAATACAAAACACCCTGCACTGCATTGGAGTGTCAGCTTAGACTATGTATATTGGGAATGTTCCCATTCCCTTAAAAACTGCCACCATCACTCCCACCTTGAAAAAACCCTCCCTTGATGCGTCGCAGCACTCAAGCTACCGGCCCATCTCCAACCTCCCCTTCCTGTCCAAGGTCCTGGAACGAGTTGTGGCCTCTCAGCTGCGCACTTTCTTCTCCACCCATTCATTATTCGAACCCCTTCAGTCAGGTTTCCGTGCTGCCCATAGCACAGAAACTGCCCTGGTCAAGGTCACCAATGATATCCTGACCATCTGTGACCAGGGCTCCCTCTGCCTCCTCGTCCTCCTCGACCTATCGGCAGCATTCGATACGGTCGACCACGCTATCCTCCTCCACCGCTTGTCCTCCCACCTCAACCTTCAAGGCACTGTCCTTGAGTGGTTTAGGTCGTACCTCTCCCACCGTCTTCACTTTGTTTCCACGAATGGCTTCTCCTCCACCCCCCGCACTGTCTCGTGCGGTGTCCCTCAGGGCTCTGTCCTCGGTCCCCTCCTCTTCACCCTCTATATGCTCCCCCTGTGGTGACATCATCCGCAGACATGGGGTTAACTCCCACATGTATGCGGATGACACCCAACTCTACCTTTCCTCCTCTACCCTCAACTCCACGACCCCCGATGTCCTGACAGCTGTCTGTCCGACATCGAGTCCTGGACGAGAGACAACTTTCTTCAGCTCAACGTACGCAAAACTGAGGCCCTCCTGATTGGCTCACGTCAGCGCCTCCGCACCTCAGGCGCTGACAGCATCAGCTCCAAACCGCACTCTCCACCTCTCAAAGCCATCAGGAACCTCGGGGTTCTGTTCGACCCTGAGCTGTCCTTTCTTCCCCACATCTGCCCCACAACTGGCACCGCCTTCCATCACCTCCGGAACATCGCAGACTACGGCACTACCTCACCCCTCACGCGGCTGAAACTCTGGTCCACACCTTCATCACCTCAAGGCTGGACTATGGGAACTCTCTCCTCGTCGGCCTTCCCGGCCCTCCCTCCACACTGCAGGTCATTCAGAACTCTGCAGCTCGTGTACTGTCCCACACCAGACACCGAGACCACAT